TGGAACATCTAGTGGATGCAATTAGCAGTAAGGATACAACCATTGACAGAATTTCATTTGATGATACGATTTCAATCGGTGTTCTGAAGACAACAGAGAATCTGTTACCAGTTCACCAGACGACGGGATATGATCAGTCATTAACACAGGAAGAAATGAGACACGTTACAAGCGTTACTAGCATAGCTGAAAAGGAAATCAATGTTCAGAAAGCTGCCTTCAGCAAGGAATTCGAATTTGAATTAACCCAGGACGAACTAGAGCATATAGCACGTGTTTCGTGCATGGCTGAAGAAGCTTTCGGCAAACGTCAAACAATACAAAGATCTGAGGAATTGATTGAAGAGGAAGGCGTGAAGTCGGATTACGAAGAATATGACGTGGAGGAAAAGGAATCAGAGAAATTTTCGGAACACAGTCAATCAAAAGCAAGTTCTGCAACGTCAGGTCCGGATTCGCCGCAGGAATCCGTGGATGTTCAGATGAATCCGATTCAAAATATCCTACCATCCGATGCAATTGATGAATCAGTAATGGTTGAAAAGGAAAATGAAGAAAATGTTCTAAATGATGATATGGAACATCTAGTGGATGCAATTAGCAGTAAGGATACAACCATTGACAGAATTTCATTTGATGATACGATTTCAATCGGTGTTCTGAAGACAACAGAGAATCTGTTACCAGTTCACCAGACGACGGGATATGATCAGTCATTAACACAGGAAGAAATGAGACACGTTACAAGCGTTACTAGCATAGCTGAAAAGGAAATCAATGTTCAGAAAGCTGCCTTCAGCAAGGAATTCGAATTTGAATTAACCCAGGACGAACTAGAGCATATAGCACGTGTTTCGTGCATGGCTGAAGAAGCTTTCGGCAAACGTCAAACAATACAAAGATCTGAGGAATTGATTGAAGAGGAAGGCGTGAAGTCGGATTACGAAGAATATGACGTGGAGGAAAAGGAATCAGAGAAATTTTCGGAACACAGTCAATCAAAAGCAAGTTCTGCAACGTCAGGTCCGGATTCGCCGCAGGAATCCGTGGATGTTCAGATGAATCCGATTCAAAA